GCCAGACGTTCATGCTTCCGGCCTCTCCGCAGCAGAATGGGGTTGCTGAGCGCCGCATTGGCTTAGTCATGGAGGTCGCTCGTACCTCCATGATCCATGTGGCTGCCCCCCATTTTTTGTGGCCGTTTGCGGTCCGGTACGCCGCGCATCAGCTCAACCTTTGGCCCCGTGTCTCCTTGCCGGAGACCTCGGCCACACTGCTGTGGAAGGGGAAGGTTGGCGACGCGTCGCGTTTCCGGGTCTGGGGTGCTCGTGCCTTTGTTCGCGATACCACCGCGGACAAACTCTCCCCTCGCGCCACTCCTTGGGTCTTCCTTGGCTTTGTCCCTGACGCGCCTGGCTGGCAGTTTTACGACCCCGCCTCGCGACGTGTCTTTGCGTCCCAGGACGTCACCTTTGACGAGTCAGTCCCCTTTTACCGCCTCTTCCCCTACCGCACTGCTCCTCGCCCTCTCCCGCCGCTCTTTCTTGCCTCAGGTCCTCCCCAGGTAGACCCCCTCCCCACGCCAGGTCCTGCTCCTTCAGGTGTTTCTCAGGTAGACCCTCCCATCCCTGCGCCTGTTGAGGTCACTGGTGATTTCGGTCCTGCTGGTGGTGGTGCTGTCCCTGGGGGTGCAGAGCTTGGGGGTGTGCAGCGTGGGGGTGCTGAGTCTGGGGGCGCTGGGCGTGAGGGGATTGAGGGTACGGAGCCTGGAGGTGCTGAGCCTGCGTGTGAGGAGCCTGGAGGTCCTACGTCTGGGGGTGCTGCGTCTGGGGGTGCTGCGTCTGGGGGTGCTGCGTCTGGGGGTGCTGCGTCTGGGGGTGCTGAGCCTGCGTGTGTGGAGCCTGGGGGTGCTGAGTCTGGGGGTGAGTCGCCTGAGGGTCTTGAGACTGCTGTTACGCGGTCTCCTTGGAGCCGTCTTCGTCCGCGTGTGCCTCTCACCTCCCAGCAGCTGCACGACTGGTACGGTCGCCGTCAGCGTTGCGCTTCTGCACCTCAGGGCTCTACTGCTGGGGGTTCTTCTGCTGGCGTCACTGGAGTTGGGAGTGGTGCTGGTCCTTTGCCTGCTGGAGGTGCTGGTGTCGCTGTTCCCGGAGGTGCTCGTACTGGGAGTACTGGAGCTGCTGGGGCTGACGGTGGCGTGTCTTAGGGTGCTGCTACTGGTGGCACTGCGGTTGGAGACCCTAGGACTGGAGGTGCCGGTTATGGGGGTGCTGCACCAGGTGGGGCTGGTGCTGAGGGTGCTGGAGCTGCTGAGGGTGCTGGGGCTGCTGGAGGTGCTGGAGCTACTGAGGGTACTGGGGCTGCTAGAGGAGCTGGAGCTGCTGAGGGTATTGGAGCTACTGGAGGTGCTGGAGCTGTTGAGGGTGCTGGAGCTGCTGGTGCTGGTGGCACTGCACAGCCGCGCCTGTTCTTTGCTCCGCCGGCTCCGTCGTCTCTGCCACCGCCTGACTCCGTGCTTCGCGAGGTTCTTAGCCTCCCGTCGTCTACTGGTCTTCCGTTACAGCCTGGCTCACCTTTGCCTGCTCCTTCTCCTTACACCGAGCAGACAAGGGGCCTTGCTGAGCGTCGTGAGCCTGCGTCGTGTCCTGTCTCATCTGTCTGTTCCGGTCGTTGCAGTCGTCGTGTTCCTCGTCAGCGTCAGCCGGCTGTCCCCGGCCCTTCCCTTGTCGTCCGTCGTCCTTCCTCTCCGCCGCCACATGTTCACTTGCCGTCTCCGCCTGCGTCCTCTCTACCTGTCGTTGCTGACCCTGAGTCTGACCGTTTTCGTGCTGAGCACCCTACTGTCACGCGTCTACTAGCCACTGTTGTCGCCGACCCGTCGTTTGAGTCTGCTGCTGCGTCTGCCTTAGTCGCTGAGCTTGTCGACTTTGCTGCTCACTGTCGTCTAGACTATGCCGCTAGTCTTGTTGCTGAGTCTGAGTCTGTCTGTCCTCCGTCCGTCGGGGGTGAGTGTGCTCTTGTCTGCTTGCCCCTGAGGGAGACCCGGATGCACCAGACATCCCGACTCCACGATCGTACGCTGAAGCGATCGAGGGTCCCTACTCCTCCCAGTGGCAGACAACCATGGACGCAGAGATGGAATCTTGGAAGTCCACAGGCACCTACGTCGACGAGGTTCCCCCTCCTGGGGCGAACTTCGTCAGTGGCATGTGGATTTTCAGGGTGAAGCGGCCGCCAAGCTCTCCGCCTTTCTTCAAGGCTCGTTACGTTGCTCGAGGCTTCTGTGAGCGAGAGGGAGTTGACTTCTTCCAGACCTTCTCCCCCACCCCGAAGATGACTACTCTTCGGGTGCTGCTGCACGTTGCCGCTCAGCATGTCTACGAGCTTCACTCTCTTGACTTCAGCACAGCTTTCTTGCAGGGCAGCCTGCACGAGGTGATCTGGCTGCGCCGTCCACCTGGCTTCACTGGGTCGTTCCCTCCTGGTACCCAGTGGAGCCTCCGACGGCCAGTCTACGGTCTCCGCCAGGCGCCATGTGAGTGGCACGACACACTAAAGACGACTCTTGCGGCTCTTGGGTTTGCCTCGTCGACAGCTGACCCGTCGCTGTTTCTGCGCACCGACACTTCGCTGCCGCCGTTCTACATCCTCGTGTACGTTGACGATTTGGTCTTTGCCACTGCTGACACTGAGGCGCTAGCCCTGGCGAAGTCGGAGTTGCAGAAGAGACACACGTGCACAGACCTGGGTGAGCTACGCAGCTACCTTGGCCTGCAGATCACCCGGGACAGAGCACGCCGCACCATCACACTGACTCAGTCACACATGGTGCAGCAGGTCCTTCAGCGCTTCGGCTTCACCTGGTCCTCAGCACAGGCCACTCCTCTGGCTACAGGTCACTCGCTCTCAGCTCCACCTTCGGACGAGTTCATAGAGCCGAGTGGTCCTTACCCAGAGCTAGTGGGCTGCCTCATGTACCTGATGACCTGCACTCGTCCTGACCTAGCATACCCTCTTGGCCTTCTGGCTCGCTACGTGGCTCCTGGTCGCCACCGAAAGGTGCACATGGATGCTGCTAAGAGGGTGCTACGCTACTTGTGCAGTAGATCGGGCATGGGGCTCATGCTTGGAGGACGGGGTGACGTTGTCCTCACTGGTCACTCGGATGCCTCTTGGGTTGACGACCTGGCTACGCAGCGGTCGTCACAGGGTTACACCTTCAGCCTTGGTTCTGGTTCAGTTTCCTGGCGTTCTACACGTTCGTCTTCAGTTCTCGGCTCCAGCTGTGAGGCCGAGATCTACGCCACAGCCATGGCTGCACAGGAGCTACGCTGGCTCACCTACCTGCTGACCGACTTGGGAGAGCGGCCTCGTTCTCCTCCAGTTCTGTACGTCGACAACAAGGCCGCCATTGCCTTGTGTCAGGAGCACAGACTGGAGCACAGAACAAAGCACATCGCTCCAGGTTAGTTCCTTGCTCGAGAGCTGGAGCAGCGTGGCCAGCTTCGTCTTGCTTACGTGGCCACTCGGGCCAACGCTGCTGATATATTCACCAAGGCGCTTCCGTCTGGTGATCGTCAGCGTTTCTGCACCTTGTTAGGCCTAGTGCCCACACTTCCTCACTTGCTATAGGCTTTGTTTGTACTGTGATCTATATATATTCCTGCATGCTTTCTTTGGTAGGTAGAGATTACTGTGCTGTTGTTGTTACGTATATATCTCTGCATGTGAATTGGCCTTGTGGCCTTTTGCTTGTGCTCAGACTGCGTGGTGACGTTGTGATCCACCCTGAGCTGTGTTTTTTTTCTTCGCTTGACTGGTCTTGTGACCGTCGCTTGTTCTGGCTGTCCCCCATTTCGCCTATGGGGGTGTGTCAAATTATATATACTTGTTTAGGTTATCTAGGTTGCATGGGGGTTAGCACTAAAGGGTACAGAAACTTTCTCGATACCCTAGTCTTGTACCCACCCCTTCACCTAATTCCATCATCCTTGCCTTAGTTCTTAACACACTCTTCATGCAAATTTCCTGAACGGGACTATAAGTATCGCGCTTTGCCTGGTGTTTGAAGGGTTTGCCACATAGTTCGCGCGCGGCGATGTTGATCCGTCGGACTATAAACGAGACAATCTGTACAGGCTACCCCGCAAATGCCTCCCCGATCGCGCGGCTCGCTCGATCCAAACCGACCGATCGTGCGCAATTTTGGACGCCACCATAACACCTTGTACGCCATTGGTTCGCCAACGACGTCAAGACGTCACGTCGCGCAAGGTACTAGCCGAACCTGCGCTCCTGAGGACCACGTGTCCGTTCCGTTCGGTCTACTCCGTCGCCCCAAACCACTCCCCATTCGCCCCCGCACCTATCGCAACTTGTCTTCACCCGGGCTTCCCGGCTAGCTAGGAAACCCCATATTTTGTCATGTATCGTCGCACTTTGTAATTACATTGTATGTTAACAAAATCCACTCTTAACATACTTCTAAATCGAAGCTCAGTATCGACGTGGTCGCATCGATCACATCGCAACCGTTTGCACTAAGTGTGCACGTCAATTGACGGCTGCACATTGACGATGGCGAGAGCACGTGCTTCGCCAGGTACATTGCAAACACGAATCTGCTCGGGCAGACAACTGTTTCACGGGCAGGCCGAGCCTAGCCCTTCGGGCGGTGGGGGTTGTCTTATTCGGAGCAAGCTTGCGCCGCTTCCGCGTGGGTCTAGTAGACGAGCTCGACCAGACGAACTCGACCGGAGTTTTTTCCCTGGCAAATCCGCTAGACCTGCGCCAAAGACAATGTAACTTCCCGTTGTCATGTATCGTCGCACTTTGTAATCACATACTCGTTCCTGGTTTAGTTTCTGCACTAAGTAAGTTCATTCATAGAGAGTCAGCCCCTTTTGCGTTTGTGAGCATACGGTTCTTGAAAGCAACCCTGACATGAAGGTAGGCATCACTAAAAGACAACCCACATCCCCTTACCACCAAGCACTTTCGTAATAACACTATCAAGCCAGCTTGCGTTTAGCTTACCATAATATAAATGAGCGATGCCTACACTACTGTATCAACTTTACAAAACAGTGTGCAGCAATATGTTGTAAACAAACTGCGCGTAAAAATCCATGGGCCCCGGTGTACAGTAATGCAGGCAATCCCGAGGCGTTTCTTCAAACCAGCTGGTATGCCCATCCGGCCTTAAAGCCATCACACCCTCCACATCCATATAAATCCCTCCCACCTCCTCCACCAACTTTCTCGCCAGCTCATTTTGCCGCATAAACCCACCCCAATTAAACGGCAAAATCTCCTTGGGTTGCCGTTCCGCCAACGGCCCCAGATTCTCCGTACAATTAAAATGCCCCGGAGGAGTGTTCCTGTAGATAATCAGCTTATCCGGAAAATTCCTCCGGACGAAACGCAGCGCCCGCCGCACGTCCCTCACGTAAGCCTCATCATCAGTAAAATGGGCTCCTCTATTGACTAGGAGCACGTCAGAGTCGACTAATGCGCCGTGCTGGGACCAGGGAACGCTTTCTTTGGCAACGAATGTGTCTCCCACTGTGAGCCAGCGGTTGGAGGTGAAATGCATGGCGAACGCACCCGCGTCGCTGCTGCTGCTGCCGTTCGTGCCGATACCCCCTGCTGCAGCAGCAGCAGGATCAGCAGCAGCAGCACCTGCAGCACCAGCAGCAGCGACACCAGTACCACCACCACCACCACTACCAGCATCACCAGCAAAAGCCCCAGGGCAAACGTCCTGCGAGGTGTTGAAGAAGTTCATATGGCAGTGCACGTGCGGCTTGTGCTCCACCCACTGATAGCAGATGGTGCGGTTTAAAGCCCACGCCGCACTCTTCTTCACGTGCCACAGCATATGGTTGAGAAACGTGGCAGCGAACAGGTTTTGGAGGGAGTCTCCTACTATGTAGACTGTGAATCCCTTGTGCATTCTCCGGGGATCATCCATCCATCTGTCTCTTGCGGCTGGGGCAGAAGAGCCATTGCTCCAGAGCCTGTCGCGCCTGGTTTCAGCTGCCCCAGCTGCCCGCTTGCAAAAATCCAGCCCGTCGAATTTCTTCCACACAGGAACCTCTGCGTTGGTATCTTCTGCCCCAGCTGCCCCAGCAGCACCAGTAGAAGCAGCTTCCGGGCCTAACTCTGCATCTACCACTTTCTTAAGCGCCGCAGCCCCACACTTATCCTCCGGAACCAGATACTCGTACTTAAGTGTTTCTCTTACCGTCCACTTATCCGGACTCGTCCCTTTCAGCACCATCTCATCAGCTCCCCACGTCGCTTTCCCCTTGCGCTTCTCCACCTGCTTGTGATCGCACATGTTCATAAAACCCGTGTATTCCCAGGGTAGAGTGCGGGGCGTGGCGTTAAACACCCACCTTCCCTCTCTTAGAACACACTCCATCCACTTGTTGAAAATAAGCACCTGCCGCTTGGTGTGCAGGCGCGTGCCTGGGATATGATCCGAGTAATCTGGAAACAGAGGGGCAGCGCGGGACTTTCCCGCTGCTGTCTGGTTCCCACCCCCCTCCTCACTCACACCCCCTCCTGCTCCTCCTTCCCCTCCTCCCGCCCCGTCCTCTGTCTCGTCCTTTTCGGGCGGCACTGTGAGATTAAACAGCCGCGTCACAAACGCCCCTGCGCCCCCCTCAGCTGCTGCAATCTTCTCCCTGTGCTCGTCCCACTGCTGCTCGTTCAGCTCGTACCAAGGGGACGGTTGCGGCCCTTCGTCTTTCTCTGAACCTGGGGAGCTGCGGGTGGGATGGGTTACCACCGCAGCAGGTGGTGGTGGTGGTGGTGCTGCTGCTGCTGCTGCTGCTGCTGCTGATGGTGGTGGTTGTGTTGATGGTGGTGGTGATGCTGCTGCTGCTGGTGATGGTGGTGGTGGGGATGGGACAAGGGATGGGGTTGCAGAGGAGGCAGAAGAAGACGCAGCAGCAGCTCCTCCCGTTCCTCCTCCTGCACCGCCTTCCACCGCTCCCGACCGCTTGACATCGCTGAAGTGTGCGCTCATGATCTCATCAAGTGCCCCCTCCACCAGTTGAAGCCTGCACGACATACTGCTGCCCAATCCAGCTGTTCCCGCTGATCCGGTTGCTCCCGCTGCTGCTGCCGCTCCTGCTGACTCAGCCGCTGCCCCTGCTGCAGCACCACCAGCCGGGCCCTTCAGGGACGGATCACAAGGCACGGCATATCGGACGATCCCTGCTGCTGCTGCCAGCGTGCCAAACCCTTCAGGGTCTAAAACCGAGCCTGGTGTGATCGAACAAATGGAAGGAGCGGGGATGGAAAGAAGGAGCGAGTGAGTGGCAATGTGAGGACCACAGGGCACGGCATATCGGACGATCCCTACTGCTGCTGCCAGCGTGCCAAACCCTTCAGGGCCTAGAGCCAAACCTGGTCCTGGTGTGAAATGGTGTGACGGGGAGTTACGCAAAACAGGGAAGAAAGAAGGTGGCTGAGGCAAACCGAACAATGCCCGCTGCTGCTGCTGCCAGCGTGCCAAACCCTTGAGGGTGTATAACCGAGCCTGGTAAATCGAGCCAGGGAACAGGGAGAAAACTTTTGAGTCGACTCAAAAGTCAACTTGCTGCTGCCAGCGTGCCAAACCCTTGAGGATGTATAACCGAGCCTGGTGAATCGAGCCAGGGAACAGGGAGAAAAGATGTGGTATTTCAGTTGACACAGCGGGGTGACATGGTGTAACGGGGAGGGGAGATACGCAAAACAGGGGAAAAAGAAGAAGCGGCTGAGGCAATGCAATACGAGGACCACTGGTGCATATCGAATAATGCCTGCTGCTGCTGCTGCTAGAGCCCCGAACCCTTCAGAGGGGAAAAAGAAGAAGCGGCTGAGGCAACGCAATACGAGGACCACTGGTGCATATCGAATAATGCCTGCTGCTGCTGCCAGAGCCCCGAACCCTTCAGGGTCGATTGCTAAAGGGTGATCAGATCCCCGAACCTGGTGTGATCAGATCCCCGAACCTGGTGTGATCAGATCCCCGAACCTGGTGTGATCAGATCCCCGAACCTGCTGTGATCAGATCCCCGAACCTGCTGTGATCAGATCCCCGAACCTGCTGTGATCAGATCCCTGAACCTGGTGTGATCAGATCCCCGAACCTGGTGTGATCAGATCCCTGAACCTGGTGTGATCAGATCCCCGAACCTGGGGTGATCAGATCCCCGAACCTGGTGTGATCAGATCCCCGAACCTGGTGTGATCAGATCCCCGAACCTGGTGTGATCAGATCCCCGAACCTGGTGTGATCAGATCCCCGAACCTGGTGTGATCAGATCCCCGAACCTGGTGTGATCAGATCCCCGAACCTGGTGTGATCAGATCAGCCCCCAACACAGGGAGTAAAGCCAGGCAACAGAAAAGGAGGTGACATTTGAATCGACTCCGAACCAGCCATGTTGAAATCACCTTGAGAACAGCCGCGTGCATGAAGAAGAGTTTTGAGACGTCTCAAAACACTTCTTCATACGCTTTGAGAATTCTCAAAGGAGATTTCAGCACAGCCAGCCAGCCAGCGGCATACCAAGCTCTTTGCTCGGAAGAGAATAATAAACGGGCAGGTAAACATCTCAAAACTCTTCTTCATGCGCTTTGAGAATTCTCAAAGGAGATTTCAGCACAGCCAGCCAGCCAGCGGCATACCAAGCTCTTTGCTCGGAAGAGAATAATAAACGGGCAGGTAAACATATAGAAGTCTGAGTGGCAGAACCAGCAGGACCAGAGGTAGTGGTGTTGAGAGTAGGACTTGGAAAGCGGAAGCTAGAGCAGGGCAGCATTGAAGGGGCAAAAGAACGGTGTGAGTCGATATTTTGAGGCGCCTCAAAAGAATCTTACCTAGTAGGGCATTACTGGAAGGAGCAGAGGAGGTGTTGAGAGGAGCAGGAGGAAGGAGCAGCACGAGCAAGGCAGCATTAAAGGGCAGGAAGAGGAAGGGACTTTTGAGTCGACTCAAAAGTCACCTTGAGAGCAGCAGGAGGAAGGAGCAGCACGAGCAAGACAGCATTGAAGGGCAGGACGAAGAGGGAGGAGAGGGATCAGCAGTCAACACAGTCAACACAGTCAACACAGTCAACAAGGGGTAGACAACTGGGAGCATGAGCAGTGGCATTACCGGCAGGGGCTGAGGTGGTATTGAGAGCAGGAGGCGGAAGCAGCTCGAGCAGCGCAGCATTGAAGGAGAGGAAGAGGAGGGAGGAGAGGAAGAGGAGGGAGGAGACGAGGAGGAGGCAGGAGCTCAAGAAAAACGGCTTTGAAGGGCAGAAAGAGGAGGGAGGAGAGTGCAAGGTGAGGGATGAGAGTTGCCAGCAGTCAACATGTGATAAACCACTGGGAGTATGAGCGGTGAGTGGCATTACCAGCAGGGGCTGAGGTGTTGAGAGCAGGAGGCGGGAGCAGCTCGAGAAGAGCAGCATTGAAGGGCAGGAAGAGGAGGGAGGAGAGTGCGAGGCTGGAGGGGCCGATGAGAAGGCGAGCTCGGTTGAACAGCTTCTTGACTGGTGTTTTGGGGGGAGAGGGAGGGGAGAGAGGAAGAAAATGGGAGAGAAGACAGGGGTATATAAGAAGGGAGGAGAGCGCGAGGCTGGAGGGGCCGATGAGCAGCCGAGCTCTGTTAAACAGCTTCTTGACTGGTGTTTTGGGGGAAAGGCAGAGAGAGAGGAGGGGTGGTGAGAAGGGGGGGGAAGAAAGTGGGGTAAGAAGGGGACGTAAGAAAAGGGGGAGGGAAGGTGGGGAGGGAGAGCTGTATGAGGAGGCAAGAGGGAAAGGCGGAGGCTCGATGAGTGAACGCGTGACTTTTGAGTCGACTCGATGCTGCTGCCACGCAAAGTCATGGCTCCTGTATGGGGCTCAAGAGGGAAAGGCGGAGGCTCGATGCGCCAACGCGTGAGAGGGAGATGAGGGGAGAGAAGACAAGCGCACATATGGAGGAAAGTGGGAAAGGACGAGACTCGATGGGCCGATGAGTCAAAGAAGAAAAAAACAAATCTGGCCAACCAAGAAGGCGCCTGCCCTTCAACCCACAGACAGAACCTATTATATGAAATTGAATTGAATAAAACGAAATCTCACCGTCGTCCATCCCCAAGTGGCCTTGATAACTCTCCACTCTCTCCGCTCCAAACCTCTCCACCACCAACCTCTCAATCTCCTCCTTGCATTGAGTTGAGTTTCGAGGCGCCTCAAAACTCAACCCAATCTCCTCCTCCATCCATCCCCACAAAAACTCAAAACCACAATAAGGTGAAAATAAAGTCGAATCTCACCGTCGTCCATGCCCATGTGACCTTGATAACTCTCCACTCTCTCCGCCCCAAACCTCTCCACCACCACCCTCTCAATCTCCTCCTCCTCCTCCACCACCCCCCCCACTCCCCCTCCTCCCCCCCCACTCTCCCCCGCTCCCCCTAACCCCGTCCGCACCACCACCACCAGCCACTCCCCCCCTGATGAGAGCCCATCCGCGGAAAGAAAGAGGGGCGGGGGGGAGTGGGGTTTGAAGGAGGGGAGGAAGGAGGGGAGGCCGTCTGGGGGGAGGAAGTGGCGGGCGCGGGCCAGGCGGAGGAGAGAGGGGGAGGGGGAGGCGCAGGAGAGGAACGAGGGCTGCCTGGGGGGAGGGGGGGGTGTGGGGGAGGGGGGGAAGGGGGGGTTGGGGGGAAAGAGGGAGGGGGAGGAAGGAAGGTGAGCCAAGAGTGGAAGGAAAGGCGCACAAAAGCGAGTGTTCCCATGGGAATCAATTGTCAGAGAGCGGAGGAGGAGGGTAGGAAGGAGGGGGGGGCAGGAGGGGAGGCCGGAAGGAAGGAGGGGAGGCCGCCTGGGGGGGGAAGTGGCGGGCGCGGGCCAGGCGGAGGAGAGAGGGGGAGGGGGAGGCGCAGGAGAGGAACGAGGGCTGCCTGGGGGAACGGGGGGTGGGGTGGTGTGGGGGGAGAGGGGGAAAGAGGGGAGCGCAGAGGAAGAGGGGAATAAGGTGTTACGCAGAGGAAAGAGAAGAAATACATAAAGAGGGGAAGAAAGAGGGGAGCGAGGGGGAGGGAGGCCGGGAGGAAGGAGGGAAGAAACGAGAGGGGGAGGAAGGGGCGGGCGCGGGGGAGGCGGAGGAGGGAGGGGGAAGGGGAGGGGCAGAGAGGTATGAGGGCTACCTGGGGGGGAGGGGGGGTGTGGGTGAGGGGGGGAGGGGAGATGAATTGGGGGGGAGGGGAGAAGGGGGGAGGAGGGTGTGAAAGTGAGACAAGAGCAGATACACAATGACAGAAAGGATAGAATGAAGGGCGGAAGGCCGTTGGGGGGGAGGAAGTGGCGGGTGCGTTGGGGGGAGAGAGGGGGAAAAGGGGGGGAAGATGGGGAACAAGGGGAGGTTGGTTGAAGCGGACACAAAGAGGGGGTGTGTCTCCCTTGCCCCGTCTCCCCCTCCCCTCCCCCTCCGTGCTCAAACTAACCTCTAAGTCAACTCTAAAGTCAATAAGAGCACTCTCGACAAAGAGGAAGTGCACAAAGAGGAAGTGCACAAAGAGGAAGTGCACAAAGAGGAAGTGTGCCTCCCTCGCTTCGTCCCCTCCCTCTCCGAGTCAACTCAACGGCAGCAATAAGGGCACTCACGACAAAGAGCAAGTGCACGAAGAGGGGGTGTGCCTCCCTCGCCCCGTCCCCTCCCCCTTGGCCGAACTTTGGGGGTGCGTGCAGTGCTCGCGAGGCCAGGTCGAATCCAAAGAGCTGATGGCTCATGATGCGAAGGGACTGGGGGAGACGGGGGGAGTGGGGGGGAGGGGAGGACGCAAGGTGCAGTGAACAAAGGGGACATCAGAGGCCAGGTCGAAGCCAAAGAGCTGATGGCTCATGGTGCGATGGGACTGGGGGAGACGGGGGGAGTGGGGGGGAGGGGAGGACGCAAGGTGCAGTGAACAAAGGGGACATCAGAGGCCAGGTCGAAGCCAAAGAGCTGATGGCTCATGATGCGAAGGGACTGGGGGAGACGGGGGGAGTGGGGGGGAGGGGAGAACGCAAGGTGCAGTGAACAAAGGGGACATCAGAGGCCAGGTCGAAGCCAAAGAGCTGATGGCTCATGGTGCGATGGGACTGGGGGAGACGGGGGACAGGGGTGGGGGTGTGGGAGGAAGGGTCTCGACTCATAGTAAGTGTCTCCCCCCTTTAGTTGGGCCCACATGGCATTGCATGCATGTACCTGCAAGTATAACTGCTATTGCTGACATGGCATGGCAGGGCATGGCATGGCAGGGCATGGCATGGCGTGGCAAGGCATGCATGCACGTACCTGCGAGTATGGTAACAGCATGGATAGTGTTCGAAACTCGGCATGGCGTCCTGAACAGCCACGTGTCCCGGCAACAGCCACTCCACCATCCACCAATACGTCTCCACTCTCTTGAGTTGTACTCGATACAGCGCGTCTCACTATATTTGTCTAGCTATAATCGAGTCTACATGGGCCATGGCATGCACGTACCTGCGAGTATGGTAGAAGCATGGGGTAGTGTTCAAAACTTGGCATGGCATCATGAACCGCCATGAGTCCCGGTAAAAGCCATTCCACCATCCACCTATAGATCGCCGCTCGCCCGCGCACAGACTCCCCCCTTGCCTCGCGCCCCTCCCCCCGCTCCCCGCCCTCCGCGCCTGCTGCTTCCCCGTGCGCGCGCGCGTGCGCGGATGTGCTTATATGGGGGGGAAAGAGATGCAACACGTGCTCGTATACCACCGCTGTGGTCCCCTTTGGATAAGAAAACTCGCTCGTGACGCCCTCTCCTGGTTTTCCGGACACGTCGGATCCACGTGGACCCCCGCCGAAGACGAAGCGGTGCGTGCCGTTGAACACGTGGCCGTGTAGATCGACGTACACGTCACGGAGCATGATGACGTGGCCGGGGTAAGGTGGCACCACGCATGACTCTAGCTTCCCGCTTCCCCCAGCAGCCCCAGCGGCGGCGGCGGCGGCGGAGCTTGCGCCAGCGGCGGAAGGGTTTTGCGGAGGGCATGTGCGGAACCACGGGGGATGCGAGGCGGAAGCTCCCCCCGCGCGGAGCTTCTCAATGGCGGAACCATCCAGACAATTGGACACGGGGGGAGCGTCAGATAGTAGATTAAAGACCATGTCTTGAATCGTCTTTTCCACTGCTGATGTCATCAGCGGTTTGCTCTCGCAGAGCGCGAAATTCCCCGAGCCGCTGCCGAAAGGAGTGGTTCCTTCGCAAATGTGGAACTCGGGGCATTTCCCGGCCTTGCAGCCGCCCGATGCGATGCTCTCGATCACGGAAGGATCTGAGCCGTCCAAGTGGATCGGGATGAGATTCTGACCGTTGATGTCCTCGGAAATTGCCGTGACTCCACGGTGCTTTTCTCTTATCGGGGCTCCAGGGTCGATCGCGCCTCCACCGGTAGACGGCGGTTCTTGCTGAGCTAGCGATACTATAGCGAAGCAGGCGAGCGACGCTATAACGGACCACACGGGAGCCAGAGAACGTGACGGGACGAGAGACCGCGAGAGGATCGTATGGCCTACCATGGCTGTGATGGCAAAATCAGCCAATGTAGAAAAAAGGAAAACAAGGAGGAGGAAGAAAATCAGCCCAAAAGCACGAGCGATCAAGCGACAATCCGAAACGCCATGACGGTCGGATTGGAAAGAACAGCCGGCATTGACGGCACGGCATCCATAAGTGTCAGTCAATCAGAGATGTATGGGAGGAAAATGGAGTCTAAGTGAATAATCTGGTCGGCATTATCTAGGAGCGAATAGCAGAAGTGGTTGGGACTAAGTGCTCCGCTTTAAGGCGAACTCCTTACAATGCAAGCGAGAGAAAGAAATACTTCAGCCTGTCACTTTCAAGATACGCATTCATTCCTTTCACTTTTTGCTATACTGCAAAACTCACAACTCTGATTATTAGGCATTACACTGCAATAACGGTAGGACGAGAATAATAGTATATAATAACATGGCAGCAACTAAACTATCTATGTACCGTAAGCGTCTCATTGTGTGTTCTTTGCCATCTCTTGATGGCTTGAAGAGCCAGCACTCTAAACGATCTCGCACCAACCAAAAGATCTAAACGTCGAAAATTGGGAGTGGGAGGAGGGAGGTTAGTAGGAGCAAGAGACAAACCACTAGTGTATGTGCTAGAGTGAGTGCTACTATCAACCCCTTGTATCGCAACTGAATTATCATCAGCAGCAGCATTGTCGTCACCGTCACTTGCGAGGGGACCGGTAGACAGCCCGACATCAATGTACAATCCTGTGGCCCCACCACCAGTCCTGCTACTATGTCTTTTGCTGCTACTAGGGATGTTACGGCTGCTGCTGCTGCTGCTGCTGCTGCTGCTGCTGCTGCTGCTGGTGGTACTGCTTCGGGAAAATCGCCTGGCAAGATCTAATGACTCCTCGTCTCCCGAAAAACCCCCTGGATTCAAAGCAGCAGCAAACCTCTCTTCAACTTCTGCTGAATTCACCTGATCCTCCACCTGCTCACCCACCTGAACCCCCACGTGACCTCCCCGCTGTTCCCCCACGTTCGTCCCCACCTGATCCTCCACCTGCTCCGCCACCTGGCACTGTTCATCCTGCAACGGGCACTGTAGCGCAACAACATGATCAACCTGAAAAATACTAGCCCAGCGGCCATAGTCGGAAGCAGGGTTGAGGTTCTGGGCAGGGAGGAGGAAGGGAGTGGGGCGCGCGGGATAGATTTCTAGAACCTGGGCGTGGGGTGGTAACCAGATGAGGTTACTCATGCCCGCTCCTGAGAAGGAAGGGGGGTGGGAGGATGGGGAGAGAGGATGAGGCGGGGTTGAGGTTGCGAGCAGGGAGGAGGAAGGGGGTGGGGCGTGCAGGATAGATCTCTAGGACCTGTGCGTGGGGTGGTAACCATATGAGGTTACTCATGCCCGCACCTGAGGGGGAAGGGGAGAAAGGAGGGAGGGAGGAAGGGTGGGAGGAAGGGACAGAGGAAGGGAGGGAAGGAGGGAGTGTGAGGCATGGAAGTGGCGGGTCCAGTGGCCTTAGTCGGAAGCGGCGTTGAGGTTGCGGGCAGGCAGGAGGAAGGGAGAGGGGCGGGAAAGATAGATTTCCAGGAGCATGAGGTGGTAACCAGATGAGGTTACTCATGCCCGCTCCTGAGAGAGGGGAAAGGGGGAAGGGCGGAAAGGGGAAAGGAAGGAGGGAGGGAGGGAATGGGGGGAGGGCGTGTGAGGCATGGCATTGTATGGCAACAGAATGATCGGCCTGAAAGAGGCGGGTCCAGAGGCTTTAGTCGAAGGACGGGTTCGTGCAGTGCTCGAGTTGGATTGCTGGCCGAGTCAAGGGAGCAAGCAGCAGCAGCGAACAACTCTTCTGATAGACTCACTACCAAACAGACTTCACTGCCGAGTCAAGGGAGCAAGCAGCAGCAGCGAGCCACTCTTCTGTTAAACTCACTACCAAACAACATTCACCTCCAAAGAATCCCACCATGGCTGCCTGCCAGCACATCCAGCCGGTGTGCCTCTCGAATCTCCTGCCACACGCTCATCTGTGTTGTTCTCAAAGAAGCTTGCTGGCCGAGTCAAGAGAACGTGCAACAGCAGCGAACAACTCTTCTGATAGACTCACTACCAAACAGACTTCACTGCTGAACAAACTCACCATGACTGCCTGCCCGCCAGCATGTCTGGCCGGTGTGCCTCTTGAATCGGTGCGACTTTTGAGAATTCTCAAAAGTCGCACCAATATATCTGCCACACAGGCAAGCGGATGTGCCCGGATATGCCAACACCATGGCATGCAGGGTTTGCCCCAAGAGTGAACTCTTGAAGCACACTCACCGTGACTGCCCGCCAGCACGTCTAGCTGGTGTGCCTCTCGAATCTGCTGCCACACGTCGAACTTTTCAAACTGCAGCACTCGCACCTCAAACCCTGCCGACTCTGCTGCTCTTACCAGATCTGCTTATAGCGGGGAAAAGGGGAGGTGGGTGAGCAGATGGGGGAAAGTTAATGAACAGGATGGTCAGTGGTGGCACGAGGGATAAAGCCCATGAGGGGGCGTGAGGAGCAAGGAGGAGAGGATACTGATGGTGATGAGAGTGATGATAGTAATAACGACAGTTTCCTGTAGCAGAGGCGGCAGGTCTTATCCCGAGCAATGATGCTTATCAGTGGGCGCATGGGGAGAGGAGGAGGAGACGATACTGACTATGATAACAGTGCTTTCAGTGATGATGATCGCCTCTAAGCCTCTCCTGGCAGGTTTTTGAGGCGCCTCAAAAGTCGTCTCTAGTGATGATGATTACCTCTAAGCCGAGCAATGAAGCCCATCAGAGGGCGCGTGTGGAGGGGAGGCGAAACACATGGTGATGACATGACGACTACAGCAACAGCTCCCTTCTAAGCCTCTCCTGGCAGGTGGCAGAGGCAGCGCGTCTTATCCCGAGCAATGAAGCCCATCAGAGGGCGCGTGTGGAGGGGAGGCGAAACACATGGTGATGACATGACGACTACAGCAACAGCTCCCTTCTAAGCCTCTCCTGGCAGGTGGCAGAGGCAGCGCGTCTTATCCCAAGCAATGAAGCCCATCAGAGGGCGCGTGTGGAGGGGAGGCGAAACACATGGTGATGACATGACGACTACAGCAACAGCTCCCTTCTAAGCCTCTCCTGGCAGGTGGCAGAGGCAGCGCGTCTTATCCCGAGCAATGAAGCCCATCAGAGGGCGCGTGTGGAGGGGAGGCGAAACACATGGTGATGACATGACGACTACAGCAACAGCTCCCTTCTAAGCCTCTCCTGGCAGGTGGCAGAGGCAGCGCGTCTTATCCCAAGCAATGAAGCCCATCAGAGGGCGCGTGTGGAGGGGAGGCGAAACACATGGTGATGACATGACGACTACAGCAACAGCTCCCTTCTAAGCCTCTCCTGGCAGGTGGCAGAGGCAGCGCGTCTTATCCCGAGCAATGAAGCCCATCAGAGGGCGCGTGTGGAGGGGAGGCGAAACACATGGTGATGACATGACGACTACAGCAACAGCTCCCTTCTAAGCCTCTCCTGGCAGGTGGCAGAGGCAGCGCGTCTTATCCCGAGCAATGAAACCCATCAAAGGGCGCATGGAGTGAGGAGGTGACGATACTGATGGTGATGGTGATGCGAGTGATGAGGTGATAATGATGACCGCAAATCCCCTCTAAAAGCTCACCTGGTAGGTGGCAGAGGCGACGCATCTTATCATGAGCGATAATGCCCATCAAAGGCCGCGTGTGTGGAGGGGAGGCGAAACACATGGTGATGATAGCTATGGCAACAGCTCCCTTCCAAGGCTCACCTGGTAGGTGGCAGAGGTGGCACGTCTTATCCCGAAAGATGATACCCATCAAAGGGCGCGTGGGGCGAGAAGGAGATGATACTGATGGCGACGGTGATGATAGTGGTATGATATGTTAACGTGTAAAGCTCACCTGGTAGGTGGCAGAGGCGACGCATCCTATCGCGAGCTATGATGCCCATCAAAGGCCGCGTAGAGCGAGGAGGAGGGCGGGTGGGAAGGAGTGATGCTGATGTGGAGAGTGGTGCTGACGTGGCGGACGGCAAGGAGGACGACGTTGAGTGCGGGAGATCGTGTGGTTTGGACTCACTGCTGGAGTGAACGGGGGGTGGGGGATGGAAGGGGGATGGAAAGGGGGATGGAAGATTGGAAGGGGCGTGGAGGGATGCAGTGACCGGCAGGAGAGGGGGGCGCCTCTGCAGCAGCGGGTCGGGGGAGAAGGCCGGAGGCAGACCCAGGAAGGCATGACGGTAGCAGGTGAAGGGGGAGGAGGGAAGGGGGTGGCGGAGTGGATGGTGGTGGAGGGGGGAGTGGATGGTGGATGGGGGTGAATCATGTCTGTCTCACCTGTCCTCTGTGATCCCAGAAAGGGCCAGGGCTGGCTCGCCGTCTGAACTCTTGGAATGCAGGGCCCGGCAGGAGAAAGGGGCGTTTTTGAGGTGACTTTTGAGTCGACTCAAAAGTCACCCGGCAGGAGAGAGGGGCGCCTCTGCAGCAGCGGGCCGGGGGAGAAGGCCGGGGGGTAGACCCAGGAAGGCGTGACGGTAGCAGACGAAGGGGGGGTGTGCAGGTTGGTGGGGGGTTGATAGAGTCACGATTGAGAGGAAACACGCGTCTCACCTGTCCTCTGTCACTCCAGCAAGGGCCAAGGCGCGGCGTCTGAACTCTTGGTATGACTCGACTGGCAGCAGAGGCGGCCGTCTCTGCAGCAGCGGGCCGGGGGAGAAGGCCGGAGGCAGACCCAGGAAGGCGTGACGGTAGCAGATGAAGGGGGAGGAGCGATTTGCTGCTAGCGCCGCCACCTCTGAGACGGTTACCAAAGACGAGAGGCGGCGGCGGTGGTGCTGCTTCTGAGAAGAAAGGCGGCGACGAGATTTGGTTCTCATTAGATCACGAGGCACATTCTCGATTTGATTCACCTTTTGTCCCCTAGCGTGGGGAGGAGGGGAGGACGTGGGGGGAGAGGGGAGGGAAACGAGGAATGGGGAAGAGGGGAGGGAGAAATGGGAATGGAAGGGAAGAGGAGGCAAAGGAGGAATGGGGAAGATTGCAGAAAAGAGGGACAAAAAGGGAGTGAAAGAAAAGAGTAGGAAAGAGGAGAAATGGGCAAGCGGCGAGGAAAGGAAGGGGAGGAAGGGGGGCAGAAGGAAAAGAGGAACGATAGAGGGGATGGAAACGGAAGAAGATGGTGAAGGGAAAAAACAACCAAACAAAACACCTGAGCAACACACCTGATAGAGGGTGACACCCGGAGGAGCAGTAGCAGCGAGCAGCGGCCACCAGGGGAAGTGGCGAGTGGAGTAGTAGTCAGGGGGCGGCACAGAGATGCCAGTAGCAGTGATGTGCGCAGCTCCATGTGTGCGGGCGTCATGGGTATGAATGCCTTGCACGTCTGTGTCGTGCGTGCGGGTGTCTACATCTGGCATGGTCCCCTCATGCCTGCCCTCCCCATGTATGTGGGAGGCGTGGGCTAACATGCCTTCGACCCCCCTGGCTAGGCAGGGGAAGAGGTGTGCTGTGCTGTTGCGCAGGGCGTGGCGCTGAGAGGAAAGGAGCTGAGAGGAGGGGGTGGAAAATGGCATGGGGAGATGGCAGAGGGACAGGAGAGGAGAGGAGGGAGATGGGGATGGGGTAGGTGAGAGAGAGCATGCATTCAGTCCCTCTGGTCAGGCAGGGAAAGAGGTGTGCTGTGCTGCTACGAAGAGCATGGCGCTGAGAGGAAAGGAGCTGAGAGGAAAGGAGCTGAGAGGAAAGGAGCTGAGAGGAATGAGAAGAGAAGGAGAGACAGGTGGGAAGCAATCCGGTTACAAGGGTTTTGAGTCGACTCAAAACACACAAGGAAAGACAGGGGGGAAGCAATCCGGTTACAAGGAGTGCGAGGGCTATCAAAGCGCACAAGGTAAAACAAGGAAAGAGAGGTGAAGTGAGAGCCCTCACACTCCTTCACTCACTCACTCACTCACTCACTCATTCACTCACTTGCTCACTCACTCACTCACTCACTCACTCCCTCCCCCACTCACTTCCTCAGTGATTCCAGCAATCACCCACATGGGACAGAGGGATGGCGTGGTGCAGAAAATGCCAAGGATTGCCAGCCGTCAGCGGCATGATGACAGCTGTAGCGTCATCTATCCATCCGCTGTGCCCCCTCTTGCCACGTGGCAGCTTGTCATTGGTGTAGGTTACTGGGAAGGTGAAACAGCCTGCCTCGTTGCATAGGGGTAAACCATCACCATCGCTCTGCCAGTGGGGGAAAGAAAGGAGTATGAAAGTGGGGGAGAGGCGGGTTGGGTTGACAAGACGGGGAGTGGAGAGGGGGTGTGGGTAAGGGAGGAACAAGGAGAGAGAGGATATATTGAAAGAAAGGTGAACGAGGCTGCCTCGTTGTATAAGCATAGAGCCAATTTGGTATTCTCACACTAACTAATAATAATAATAAGCACCCACCAACTTACCATCACCTGAACGCGTTATAAGCAGTCCCTACTCACCGAAATGTCCTCTACTCCGTGCAAGGTCACTCCTCCCTTGAACCAAGCGTGTATGCATGCACACGTTCTCCAGCTCGTAGGCTCCTACCATCTTCTGTACGCGTTATAATCAGTCCCCACTCACCGGCACATCCTCTACCCCATGCAAGGTCACTCCTCCCTTGAATCGAGCGTGTATGCACACGTTTTCAAGTTCGTATGCTCCTCCCCCTTCCACTCGCCTCACAGCGGATCGTTGTGGCACCTGCTGCTTGCTGTAGTGTGTGGCTTCAGAAACTGGGAGGAGGGAAAGGGGAAAAACAGGGGAGTTTGGGAAGAATAGGAGGGTCATAGTGCATCGCTCCTCCCCCTTCCACTTGCCTCACGGCGGATCGCTGCGGCACCTGCTGCTTGCTGTAGTGTGTGGCTTCAGAAACTGGGAGGAGGGAAAGGGGAAAAACAGGGGAGTTTGGGAAGAATAGGAGGGTCATAGTGCATCGCTCCTCCCCCTTCCACTTGCCTCACGGCGGATTGCTGCGGCACCTGCTACTTGCTGTAGTGCGTGGCGTGAGAAACTGGGAGAGTGTGGAAGAAGCGATGCGGGGAGAATAGGGGGTCTCGTGACAATGACAAGGAGTGGACCGTTCTCCAGCTCGTTGGCTCCTCCTCCTTCCTTTTGCTTCATGGAGGATCGCTGTGGCACCTGCTGCTTGCTGTAGTGCGTTGCGTCAGAAAGTGGGAGGGGGAAAAAGAGGGAAAAAGGGGTGGGGGAGGGAGGGGGGAATGGGGGGAGAAAGGGGGGACAAAAAGGGGGGAAACATATGGGGCCACAGAAAGGGGGCGTGAAAAGGGGGAGAGAACAGGGGGAGAGGGGGGAAGGAGACGAGGGAGGATGAGGGGTTGGGGAAACGGGGGAAGCAGTGGATATCTGTTTTGAGACGTCTCAAAACACTCTTTTTTTCACGGTGCGAATCTCCGCCTTGAGAATCCCGCAAAGCACTAACGGAGACATGCAGCGCGCTTACGCAGGGTTCGCATTCCGCGATGCCGCACTCGCAAAAGCGGCGTTTCTTGAGCTGGAGCTGACGTGGCGTCCCTCGAGTCCACGTCAGCGTGGGTCTCGAAGTAGGAGTGCGGAAGAGATTGGCCGAGGTAATCGTCATTCCGGCCACAGATAAGGCCAGCTGTGGACGCGTGAGAGGCTGACACGTGGCAGGAGAGCAGCAGGAGGCATACCAGTCCACGTGTACCCGTCCAGGAGGACCGTCCGATCATCGCGGCGGAGACGAGTGGAGATTAATCGCCTAATGTAGCAAGCGTACTAGAGACAAGACGACGCGTGAAGAAAGGGGCAACGACGACGAGTTCCGCGTTCTAGAGACAAGGCAACCTCGAGGTATTCGCAAGCTACCGTATATCCGTTCATGTCGCTGGAACCGTTTTGAGTCCACTCAAAAACCGTGGGCTACCATATATTCGTTTATGTCGCCTTTTAAGACTGTGTAACTCTCGACGAAATCTCTAGCGGCGATGGCCTTTGCCAGGATCTACGGTCCACACGGTCAGCGATGCTTCTTGGCGATCATACCGCAACGTCGATAAAACCGGGAGAGACGGCAGTAATACCGTGAAATGGACGGCGTTCCGGAGTCCTTTTCGCCGTGACCGACGGGGATCGTCTTCCTTCCCGCCAAAACAAAAAAAGGGCAGTGGCTGACGCGGCGCTAACACGGAGTAATACAGGTTATTTCGCCTTCACGGGATTAGTTGGAGTTCTCGAAGCGCGGCGATTTCTGTGCTTCAGTTCAGCCGAGAGTGCGGTGAAGCGGAATTCAGGGAACTGTTCTGGTTCTGTGCTCAGCTGAGGATATGAACAGTTATCCGCAATAGAATACGCGGTTGATGGTGACGCGATAGCAGCAGGATTCCCGCATCGTAAGCCATTTCTATACAGAAGCAAAAAATGAGCAAAATTAGTGGGTGGCTTATCCGCTGCATTTCATTTAGCAGCATGAGTCACTAGATTTGTGTAAAGCTGGTAACTTTTGTTACACGTCCTATTGGTTGGTTACTAAAAGCGAATTTCCATCAATTCTCTTGCAGCCATTGGTGTCCTGTTTGAGGGATGGAGCAAACGGTATGAAATAGGAAGACAAATTAGGTGAGTGAATGAATAATATAATATTTTCCGCAAGAAAACAGCACCAACACGACCACAAAAGGCAACAAAACAAAACAGCACCTGATTCAATTTCCAAGGCAGTCTCCTTACCGAGAATCTCATCTGCCGTGATTCTGAGGGCGGCGTCTTTTGACAGCATGCGCATCACCAGGTCCTTCGCTTCGTCAGACACACTCTCCCACACTCCCTCTCTCTCCATCTCCTCCTCCACGCTCTTTTCCAAAATAGCCCGAAACACCCCCTCGTCAGAGTCACCCCAAAAGGGAAGTACCCCCGACAAAAGGACAAACAGGATCACTCCGGCCGCCCAGATGTCGGATTCTGGACCGTAGGATTCGTGGAGAACCTCAGGGGCAATGTAGAATGGCGAGCCTACGATCTCAGAAAAGCGTTCACCTGGTTTTGGGAGGGGAGAGGGGGATGAAAGTATTGGGTTTTGGGGTTTGCGGGGAGAAGTGATGTAGAGTCGTCGTGAGCCTACAATCTCAGAAAAAACGCTCGCCTGGATTTTAAGGGGGTGAGAGAGGGGAGGGGAGGGTTTTAAGCTTCCAGTGTTAGGGGGAAAGTGATGTAGAATGACAAGAGGAGAAAATGGTCCCAGAAAAAAATTCATTTGGGTTTGAGTAGGTGAGAGGGGCGGGGGGGGAGCGGAGGGGGGAATTAGGGTTTGCATGTGGTGCATGTTGCCGCACAGCCTGAATAAACACTCAACGAGCCATACAGCATCCCAATGCAAGATGTTCTGGGCACACGATCCCCAAACCATGCACAGCACCACTCTCAACACCTCAACAACCCATTGCACCCACCTGGATTGAAGAACACCGAAACACCATAGTCAATGACTGCAACATCCACGTCATCATCCTCCCTCCTTAGAAGCACATTCTCCGGCTTCACATCCCGGTGCATGATGCCCAGGGCGTGCAGGTCTCTCAGCAACCCCACCAGCCGCCCCACCACTGCTGCTGCCTCCCTCTCCCCATACGCCCCCCCCTGCTGCACTCGCTGCCACACGTCCCCTCCTTGACACAGATCCATCACTAGATGCACGTGCTGCAGGGAGTATGGCAGGCATGGGAGGGCGAGAGGGGAGAGAAGACAAGGAGGAGGGGCACAGAGGAGATGAGAGGAGAGGAAAGAGAAAAGGGTATAAGAGAGTGTGAGCATGATGCCCTGGGCGTGCAAGTCCTTCAGCAGCCCCACCAGCCGCCCCACCACTGCTGCTGCCTCCCTCTTTCCATACGCCCCCCCTTGCTGCACGCGTTTCCACAAGTCCCCCCCCGAGATGGCACGCCATCTCCGCATCTAGGTGACTTTTGAGTCGACGCAAAAGTCAACGCCAAGTCCATCCCCAAGATGGCACGCCATCTCACCTCCGCATCTCACCTCCGCATCTCACCTCCGCATCTCACCTCCGCATCTCACCTCCGCATCTCACCTCCGCATCTCACCTCCGCATCTTCAAACACCCCCTGAAGCTGCACCAAGCTACGTTGGCAGATACGCTTTGGGAAGGCTGGCGTATCACGTATATACGCTAGCGTATATACGTGGTACGCTAATACGCTCTGAATTTGCGAAATACGCCCGGGCAGCCCGCGGAAAAAAAAAATCCGAAATTGGAAAAAATCGCGACGACTTTGCGGCTTCGCAAATTGTTACCGCGAACTCGCTCAAGCACCCTACCCATGTCTGAACCTCGAATGTCAAAATCCAAACTTTCCCACCCACTCAACCACACACCACCCCACCCAACCTCTCAAACCCAACAACCCCTTTCAAATGTTCATAACTTCGTTAGCATTTTTAGGTGGACGACTTCCACAAAGCTCTTCAATTTACTTCCCGCAGGTCTCGTCTAGCATTCTTCCCCGTTAGTTGGACGTTCCGTAGTCGCGCGCCATGGCGTCGAGCGCAGCTACTACTAGTTCGACGAGCAATGCAGCCTCTGTTCACGGCTCTACTGCCCGGGAAAAATGTTTCACCTGCCCGCCCAGCGTATTTTAGCGTATCAGCAGTACGCCAGCCATTGCATACCGCGTATATACCCAGCGTATAATACGCTAGCGTATTATACGTGATACGCGTATTTGCCAACGCAGGCACCAAGCACAGATGCCCTCTCATCGCCTCCAACACCTCTACATCCCTCTTCATGTTTCCCACTCCCGCACATGTTCACCTTACCCTCCCTCGTCCCACCTCCACATCTCACCTCCGCATCTCACCTCTTCGGCTTCAAACAATGCCTGCAGCAGCACCGAGCAGGGATACCCTCGCCGCACTGCCTTTCACTCCCTGCTCGGAGCGGGGAGTGAGCTGCACTCGAGGTGCAGGCAGTGAAGTGAGCAGGGATACCCTCTCACTGCCTGCACTGCACCTCCCTCCTCATATTCCCCGACTCCTCACATTCTCGCCTAACCCTCCCACTTTTCCTCTCTCACCTCCTCATTTTCAAACACTGCCTGCAGCAGCACCGAGCAGGGGTGCCCTCTCACCGCCTCCAACACCTCTCCACCTCCTTCCTCACTTCCTGTGCTTCCTTCCACTTCTCACCTCCTCACCTGCTCCCCCATCCCCCCACCCATCTCACCTCCTCCTCTTCACACCCCTGCAGCTGCACCGAGCAGGAATGCCCTCTCATCATCGCTTCCACCACCTCCACCTCCCTCCGCACACCCTCACTTACTTACCCTCCCCCATTCCCCCCATCCCCCCTCCTATCTCACCTCCTCATCTTCAAACACCCGCTGCAGCTGCACCGAGCAGGGATGCCCTCTCATCATCGCTTCCACCACCTCCACCTCCCTCCGCGCACCCTCACTTGCTTACCCTCCCCCATTCCCCCCATCCCCCCTCCTATCTCACCTCCTCATCTTCAAACACCCCCTGCAGCTGTACCGAGCAGGGATGCCCTCTCACCGCTTCCAACACCTCCACCTCCCTCCGCACGTCTTCCGCCTCCTCCTCGCTCTGCCGTGCACAGAATCACACAAAGAGTGGACAGATGCACTCAGTATTGTGCATATCCTAGGTGCCTTGAAATCTCAAGTGCTACAGCTCCCTCCGCACGTCTTCCGCCGCCTCCTCGCTCTGCCATGCACAGAATCACACAAAGAGTGGACAGATGCACTCAGTATTGTGCATATCCTAGGTGCCTTGAAATCTCAAGTGCTACAGCTCCCTCCGCACGTCTTCCGCCGCCTCCTCGCTCTGCCATGCACAGAATCACACAAAGAGTGGACAGATGCACTCAGTATTGTGCATATCCTAGGTGCCTTGAAATCTCAAGTGCTACAGCTCCCTCCGCACGTCTTCCGCCGCCTCCTCGCTCTGCCATGCACAGAATCACACAAAGAGTGGACAGATGCACTCAGTATTGTGCATATCCTAGGTGCCTTGAAATCTCAAGTGCTACAGCTCCCTCCGCACGTCTTCCGCCGCCTACTCGCTCTGCCATGCACAGAATCACACAAAGAGTGGACAGATGCACTCAGTATTGTGCATATCCTAGGTGCCTTGAAATCTCAAGTGCTACAGCTCCCTCCGCACGTCTTCCGCCGCCTCCTCGCTCTGCCATGCACAGAATCACACAAAGAGTGGACAGATGCACTCAGTATTGTGCATATCCTAGGTGCCTTGAAATCTCAAGTGCTACAGCTCCCTCCGCACGTCTTCCGCCGCCTCCTCGCTCTGCCATGCACAGAATCACACAAAGAGTGGACAGATGCACTCAGTATTGTGCATATCCTAGGTGCCTTGAAATCTCAAGTGCTACAGCTCCCTCCGCACGTCTTCCGCCGCCTCCTCGCTCTGCCATGCACAGAATCACACAAAGAGTGGACAGATGCACTCAGTATTGTGCATATCCTAGGTGCCTTGAAATCTCAAGTGCTACACCTCCCTCCGCACGTCGTCCGCCTCCTCCTCGCTCTGCCGTGCACAGAATCACGAGAATGTAGCACGATTCTTGGCACAGCCTCAGCAATGTGGCACGATTCTTGGCACAGCCTCAGCAATGTGGCATGTGTCGAAACACGAACGAGAGAAGACGCACATTTTGAGTCGAGTCGAAAACTCGTCTCGTCACACGCGGAATAAGATTTCTTCTTCCACGGTTATCTCCCCACCTCCTTCCCCCGTGATAAAAGATCTGTTTTGAGACGTCTCAAAACAAAGCTTTTATCATGTGAAAACTCGTCTCGACACACGCGGAATGGGATTTCTTCTTCCACGGTTATCTCCCCACCTCCTTCCCCCGTCCCCGGAGACCACGGTTATTACACCGCGACAACCCGTATTTTCCCCTTGGGAATCGTTTTGCACGTAAGCCGTTTGTTGCTCCTCCAATGCACACATCCCCTGGTGGTTTGGTTTGAACCTACAAAATTGCCCCATCTCCCTTCACCCAACCCCCCAGCCTCATCACACCACTACATACCTGTATTTTCCCCTTGGGAATCGTTTTGCACGCGAAAACTTCGTTGCTCCTCTGATGCACACACTGCCTGATGCTGCCTAATCGCCCCCTCACTACCCAACCCTCCCTCCTCACTACCTGAATTTTCCCCTTGGGAATTGTTTTGCACGCGAACACTTCGTTGCTCCTCCGATGCACACACTGCCTGATGCTGCCCGATCGTCCCCTCCCTATCTCCTCCATACTCAGTAAAAACTGCTCCGTTATATCCTCAAAGGGCCGCCCCAGCACGCTCATACCACCACCAGAAGCACCAGCACCACCAGCAGCAAGTGTTGTTGCCCCAGCTCCTTCTGCTCTTCCTACTCCTCCCCCTGTTCCACCCCTCCCCCCCCTTGCTCCCCCCATTCCCCCCCCTTTCCCTGCAGAAGGACGGAGGGGCGATCCCCCCCGTCCTGCTCCCCCCATTCCCCCAACTCCCCCCGTCGCCCTTTCCCCCCAGCTCCCCCCAGCATGGCTCGGGGAAACGGGGGGATTGGGGGAGGATGAAGAGTGAGCCGAGCGGGGGGAGTGAGGGTGAGGCTTTGGCGGGGAGTGCGAGTGAGAAAGCGAGTGAGGATGGGGCTTGGGAGAAGAAACGGAGTGAGGGTTGGAGTGCGAGTGGGACTTGGGAGAAGAAACAGAGTGAGTGTGGGGGTGAGGGTGGGGTTTGGGAGGGGAAGGAGAGTGAGAGTGGGAGCGAGAGTGGCGGTGAGGGGGAGGTGTAGAGGACTGCTGTTGGGGCGGTTGGCCCCCACCCCCTTGACGAAGTGGGGAGTGAGGAGGCGGCAAACGAGCACCAGTGTTACCACCAGTGTGGTAACCAGCAGTGTTACTCCCAGTGTTGTAACCACCACCAGCAACACCAGGGCCACCACCAACAGCACCAAAACCACCACCAGCAGTAGAATTGCCAGCACCAGCACCACCCGCACCAGCACCAAAACCGGGATCAAAACCTGCAACAGCAGAATATCCCGCAAATGCGACTCCAGCAGCACTAGCAGACATTGTCCTCTTATGCCGTGACATGCCTTGTGATGCCGCCCCTATTCCCCCTCCCCCTCCTGCTCCAACTCCCCCTGCTATCCCCCCCCCTCCTCTCCCTCCCCCTCCCCCTCCCCCCTCCCCATCCCCCTCCTCCTTCCCCTCCTCCTCTCCCCCCTCCCGCGGGACTATAATGAGGGTGAAGTTTGGAGGGACTGGGGCTCGTATAACTCTTGGTGCTTATAATGGTTTGCCCACCGAGTTCCTTTCCACTGCCACCAGGACGTGCAGCAGTGGCAGCAGCTCTCGCCGAGCCTGCAGGTTTGGCCGGGGCGGTGGAGGATCGGAACAGCTCCAGCTGATCGTTTTTCTCCTCTGTCTCGTATTGCTGCTCCTGCCATGATCCCTCCTGCCATCCCTGCCCCTGCCCCTGCTGCCACCCCTGCCCCTGCCTCTGCCCCTGCCCCTGATGCTGCTGCTGTTGCTGCTGCTGGTTGTACCGTTGCTGCTGCTGCTGTTGCGGTTGCTGCTGCTGTACAAACCCCATGGGTTGCTGTGGGGAGAACAACGGCTGCCCCAGGTCAGAGGGAAAGCCGCCCACTCCCGCCATTCCCATAGAGTGACTTCTCCTGTGACCCACGCGCCCCTGCTGCCCCTGCTGCTGCTGCTGCTGCTGCTGCGGTGGCAGCGGCTGCCATTGCTGCTGGTGGTAAGGTTGCTGCTGCTGCTGCCCCTGCATACCCTCCTGCTTCTCCCGCTCCTTCTGCATTGCCTGCTCATTTTCCTGGTGTCTCCGCTTCAGCATCAGCTGATGCTCACTCAATTGCTGCTGTCCCTGCTGCTGTTGGCCCTGCTGCCGATGCCCCTGCTGCTGTTGACCCATATCGTCTATCCTCACGCCTGCTTCAACCGCCCCTTCCCCAGTCCCTTCTCCTGAGTTTGGGTCCTTGAACCCTGCATTAGCTGCACCCCATTGCACAGGAACAGGGGAGACAGGAGCAACGGGAACGTCATCATCATCCCCCTCTTCCCCCGGAAGCACTCTCCCATCCTCCACTTCTGTTCCCTCCTCCTCTCCTCCCTCCTCTTCCCCTATCTCCTCCTCTTCTCCCTCCTCTCCTCTCACTCCCTCCTCCAGCACTCCATTTCCCATCATACCACTTCCTCTGGCTCCCCCCAATTCCCCCCCTCCTCCGCCTCTTCCCCCAACCCAGCCCCTGCCTCCGCCTCTTCCCCCTCCCCCAATCAAGCCTGTTTCCCCCACGTGCCCGCCTCTCCCCATCTGCCCCGTGCTAGGTCTCCGCATCCGCCCCCCCTGCCCCTGCGCCTGCGCCTGGGCCTGCGCCTGCTCCGCCCGATAGTTTCCCCCCGCCCACCCTTCCCCGCCCCCCCCCTCCAGAGAACCCCCAGCCCCCTCCCCCAGGCCCCTGCAAGCTATGACTGCGCCTGTGACCCTGCCCCCCGCCCCCTCCCCTTGCGCCTCGCCCCCCTCCGCCTCCGCCGCCCCTTTCGCCTCCCGCAGAGAATCCGCCTCCAAGGCTTCCGCCGTGCAGAGGGGAAAGGAGGGCGGATGCTTGGCCTGAAGCTTGATTCCCACTTCCGTAATTCCCGGAATTGCCATCCTGGTGTTGCTGCAAGAGATTCTCGTTACTATCCTCCTCGTTATCGTCCCCATGCTCGCGGATTTGCCCTAGGGGAGACTGTGCGCCCCTTTCTCTCCCGCTGCCCTGCCCCCGCGCTGCTCCCCCCCGCCCCAACCCTCCCCCGCCTACCCCCCCGCCCACAATCCCTCCCCCCATCCCCATGCGCGCATTCCCCCCATCTCCTCCCGAGCCACTGCCATAGCTACTGTTACTGTAACTGTTGTTACTATAGCCAGTGTTACTGTAAGTGTTACTATTTGAAAAGTCCATAGACCGATGCCTCAGAGGATGGGCGGGGATCGGTTTGGAAGGGTCTGAGAAGGAGGAGGGGACAGGCGCGGGGATCCTCCCCCCGTCAAGGGACGCGCGCCTTTCCCCACCCTCAAGGGGGGCGCCCCTTCCGCCGCCGTCAAGAGAGGCGCGCCTTACCCCCCCTGCTGACGATAACATTCTCTGCCCGCCCGCAGGCCCGCTCCCCCTCCCCCCAACAGCTCCCCCAGCCCCTATTCCGCCCGCTTTCCCGCCCCCACCTCCCCCGCCGGCTCCCCACGCTCCAGTTCCGCCATCCCCGCCGAACCCGGTTCCGCCTCCCCCTTCCCCGTCCGCCCCCTCCCCCGATTTGTTCCCCCCTTCCCCTCCGCGGAAATCCATTTCCTGCAGGAATTGCGCGGAGTCCGCGGGGAAGGCGGACTTGGTGCGCCGATGGCGCGAGGGCTTCGCGACAGGCGCGGCAACCATAGCCGCTAAGTCCTCGGGCGGCAAATCCGCGTCGTCCTCTCTTCTTAGTATATTAACGGACGGTCCTGAAAACATCTCCCACACCCGCCCACCGGATTTTATAAACTTAGGCTTGAAGCGAGGGTCAATACTGTCTAAATTTGCCCCCTTGCCTTGCGCTTCCTGACCTCCTCCGCCGGGGCCTCTAGGTTCCCCCGCCGCTCCGCCTTTCCCCCTCGGACCTTCCCCTGGGCCGCTAACCCCTCCGCCCGCGCCTCCCCCTCTTCCGCGCCCGTCCAGATCGCCTCCGACTCTCCCCTGCGCTCCCGCCTCCCCTCTACCCCCTGGCGCAGGCGGATGCGCGCCTCTCCCCGCTCCCGCTGGGCCTGGCGGAAACTGTCCCGGCGCTCCCATCTGCGCAAGAAAATCAGGCGCAACGCCCCCCATTCCCATAGCCGCCATTCCCATGGATCGCGATCGGCGGTGGTTACCACCGTGGTTACTCGCGACGCCCATGTGGTTACCCGCGTGGTTACCAGCGACGCTCTGGTGGTTACCAGGGAACGCGATAACGGGGGCGACGGGAACGTTGTCGCCATGGTCCCACGGAAACTCCTCCGCTTGCTCGTGCTGCTGCTGCGGCGGCGGGAACTGCGAAGACATTTGTGGCGGATATTGCGGAAATTGCGGCGACAAAGGTGGTTGCTGGTAAGGACCCGGAGTTTGCTGGAACTGCGACTGTTGCTTCTGCGGCGCGTACTCGTTCCATGTGTTGCGGGTGTCGTGCTGGCTTGCCGGCCGCCGTTGCACGTGATGCTGATTCATGCGGCGAGAATCGTCGGCTTCTGGAGCGGCTCAGTACAAGAGTAATCCGTGGTAATAGAGGCAGTTTTCTAGGTGCCTAGAAAATAAATTACTTGAGCAAACAGAGAGCCGCGCAAGGAGCGGTGCGACGTAACTGGACTACTATATTTTTTCAAGGCGCCTCAGTAATAACAATGATACGACTTACCACAGTAGTAACGTCAGGCTAGTCTGTCAGATGGGATAGAACTCGACAACTAGCGGGTTAGAACCGTTAAGAGTTTTGACGCCTAGCCGTCCGTCACCTTGCATTGAGCCTTCACGGCTTCAGTCTATATTTCCTTGGTCAATCGGGAACGTGTCATTGGAAAATGTCATAAGAATGTATCACTAAAAGTGTCTTAAAATCGCGTCGGTAAAATGTGTCAACGCCTACTGAACATTACGCTCGCGGTTGTAGGTCAGTTTTTAGGATCGACGCTGCTCGTCTCTATAAGCCATAAGTGCAGAACTCAATCATCAAACCGTGCCAGTGCAACTGAAGAACGTGAAATAATCAGCCACCACCACTAAGGGCGTGTCTAGCTAGTTCATTTCAGGAAATTTAGTACCACCTCACGATCCGGGGTTCAAAACTAATCACTGTACCTAAAAACGAAATCGCCCTGAGTCGAGTCCACCCTTTTTGTCAATTCTAGCGCGCGGACACGTTCCCCCCACACAGACTTCAACAGTGCAGGGGCCGTGTGGAAACCAAGGTAGCCGGTTTTCTCGTCAACCCAAGCGTTGGAATTTTCGCCAAGCCAACACTTCCTCTACTAGTTTTGGCGAGTGTCAGGCGGCACAGGCGAAATCGAGCGCGCGATACAATGGGCACTCACTGTAGTGGGCAGGACGCGGTTCTGTACCATTTTTCGATGCGCACGCTGATTCCTGTAATGTGCGTCACACGATTCGAGGTACGTGCAGGGGGTGTGCCGTATCTTGAACGGGAGCCGATCGTGTCTGGCATTTCTGTAAAAATCAGTGTTACAACGCAAAATGTGGTAACTCAAGGGCTTTACGAACAGTAAATGAACGAGCTGGACACCCCCTAACCCTCCGAAAAGAGACGAACGGCCATTCACCTCAAGGGATGCTGTAGAACTTGAAGTGCTGACTGAAATGCAGGCTCCAAGAATCAGAACCACACGACACCACAAACAAGCAATGCCCCCGAACCTCCGAACCTCACCTCAACCGAAGCCCAGCCATACAGAAATGCTAGTGGTGGAACAGAGTGAAGTGAACCCAACAACTGAGGAAAAGGCCAGAAAAGGAGGCCTGAGGCCATGTGTGTAACAAAACTAGGGATATTGCACCCAACCTAGCTGAACCGAGCGTTCACTAGTCGGGGATGTTTGAAGTTTGGAATGAACCAGAAGCTGGAAACGCGGCAGAGTGGGTAGCGTTGGGCCAGTGGGAGTGTCGGCAGTCGATTACGGCCGTCAAGAGTGTCGTTCGTGCATTGGTCGTTGGTCAATTGGGAGTGCCGACGGTGGATTGGCCCCTCGAAAGTGTCGCATCGCAGGTCGTTCTTGCCCTTGCATTGATTGGGCCTCGGAGGTGTCCGTGGTGAAGCCCAGCCACACAATCAGCTGCAAGTTTGGCGGGAAAATGGAGCCACACCTGATCCGTTAAAAGACATTGACTAAATTCAAAAGCAACGCATTCGACTAACCACCAGGACTGACATCAATACTATGGAAGGTATTTCAGCATAACACCCTTTCAGCCAGCCTTCACTTGGCAACAAAAATTATAATTTTTAAACACATTGTGTTTTTTAAAATTGTGTATTGTGAAAGCGAAGCTGCTTGTACTGCACAATTGGCATCGTCGAAGCGCGCTAAACGCCCTTCTCCAACTATAAAAACCGTGGGTTGGAGTTCATTTCTCTCCACCTACGCTTCTCGATTTTCAAACGGCTCACCCTCCATCAACGGCCTGTGTTCAGATTTGCTCCCAAAGTTACAGGACCAAATGATAAACATGCTCGCGCAATCTCGCGCCGATTCTACGATCCGGACATACGAACCATACTGTGCCAAGTTTCGAGCCTTCTGCACAAAAGTGAACCTCCCATTTCTTCCGGCATCCGACATGACCCTCGCGCTCTACCTGGTACACGCAATCCGACGCAAAGCCACCCTGTCCGTAGTGCAGCTGACGTGCTCGGCGGTCAGCTTCGCTCATCGCATGACTGGGAGCAAATGCCCGACAACCGGACCGTTCACCACCCAAGTCCGTGACTGTGCAAAACGACACTGCCCTCGCCCTATTCGTATGAAGGAACCCGTATCGATCCAACAAGTCCGGGACATGGCCGCGAGTTACTTGCAGTCCGACGATCCCGCGACGTTTCAGAAAGGGTTGATCCCCATCCTCATGTACTCAGGATTCCTGCGATATTCTGACCTGGCAGCCATAAAATGGCAAGACATCCAATTCGACGACGCGGTCATGTGGATTCTCATACCACACTCCAAGACCGATTAGGCTGGTCATGGCACTTGGATTCCCATTGCAGCAACGACAGACCCCTGTTGCCCAGTGCGCTGCACCCGACGCTTCATCCAGCTGGCCGGCTATGGCCCACAGTCAGAGGGACCATTGATTCGGGTCTTCGGCCACGCTTCAACCAGCGAGGGCCAAGCACGGCCACCCTCATACACCACGATCCGGAACTGGTGCAAGGAAGCCTTCGCAAAGGTGGGCCTTGGAGACCTGCAGCTCGGCACACATTCTTTCCGAAAAGGTGCAACCACAGTAGCAGCCAACACGGGCGTGCCAGACAGGGTCTTCAAACGGCTGGGCAGATGGCGAAGCGACTCAGCAAAGGAAATGTATGTTACACCATACGTCGAGCCTCTTATCGAAGCCTCCCGTAACCTACAAGACCTGACGCATGCAGCGTCATCGGCACAACACTCAGAGGCACTCGTTGTCAGAACATATATGTAGCTTATGCTGTTGTGTATGCTACAGTGGGGTATCCCATAGGGGGTACAACCCAATTAGGGTTTTGCTATTTGTACCCAACTCTTTCATAGTGCATTCATTCTCGTTCTATTTTCCACATGGTATCGAGCAGGTTCCCCCGTGGGAACTGTGCTTAGGGCCCACCACTTTTAAACTTTTTTTTTTTCTGCCCGGAGCGCGCTCCGGGCCCTCGCTCTCACTCTTTCGGCCTGCCCTGCGGCCCCTTAGCCGCCCGCGCGCCGCCCGTCCCGGCCCCTAGCCGCTCGCGCGCCGCCCGTTCAGGCCCATAGCCGCCCGCGCGCCGCCCGTCCCGGCCTCTAGCCGCTCGCGCACCGCCCGTTCAGGCCCCTAGCCGCCCGCGCGCCGCCCGTCCCGGCCCCTAGCCGCTCGCGCGCCGCCTGTTCAGGCCCCAGGCCGCCCTGTGCCGCCCGCCCCGGCCGCGCTCTCTTGTCTCGGCCCCTCGGCGCCAGGACGCCACCCGTCCTGGCCCCTCACCCGTCCCGGCCTCACACCGCCCGTGCGCCGCCCGTCCCTGCTGCACGCCGCCGTCCCGGCCCCCCCACGCCGCCCGTTAGCCGCCGTGCAGCCTGAGCCGCCCGAGCCGTCTGCGCAGCTGAGGAGCCGAGCCGCCCGAGCCGCCTGTGCCGCTGACAGCCTGAGCCGCCCGAGCCGCCCGAGCCGCCTCCCCCCCCCCCCCCCCCCCCCCCCCCCCCCCCCCCCTTTTCCCGTCGCCTGTCGAGGCGACCTGAGGGGGCCGCTGAGGGGTGGCAGGTGTGTGGTCTCCCCTGCTTCTCCTCCTCCTTCGTCTTGAGCTGCCCTGCAGCCGAGCCGCCTCGCCGCCGAGCCGCTCTACACCCGAGCCTCCCAGCAGCCGCGCCGCCCTGCAGCCGAGCCGCTCTACACCCGAGCCTCCCAGCAGCCGCGCCGCCGGGTCGCCGAGCTGCCGAGCTGCAGTTGCTGCCGAGCCGCCCTGCCGCCGAGCCGCCCGAGTCGCCCGAGCCGCAGAGCCGCCGTGCTGCCGAGCCGCTGAGTCGCCGAGCCTACTCTACCCACCACTGGTGAGCCCCTGCCCTGCTAGCACGCTGCGCGTCGCCTGCTTGCCCGCCTGCCTCCCTTTTTGGCTTGCCTGGCTGCCTGCCTTACTGCTGCTACTCCTGCTCCTGCCTCTACTGGTGGAGCCAGATGCAGCCCCATCGACGTCTGCGTGAGTCCCTCACGCCCCAGCAGCTGCGTGAGTGGTACACTGGTTGGGGCTGTAGGGGTGGTGGCGCTACTACTGCTACCACTCCTGCTGCTTCTACTACTGGTGGCGGCCAGATGCAGCTCCCGCGACCCCCCCGCGCATCTCTCACGCCTCAGCAGCTTCGTGAGTGGTACGCTCAGAGTGGAGGGTCTCTCAGTTCTGTTCGCTGCTCTTACGTGATTCTCACTGGTGCTCGGACTGGTCAGCCTTGTGGGACACCTAGTCATACACAGTCCCGCTGCTTCGCCCGTCTGAGCGACGCCTGGCGTACCGTGTTTGGCGACGAGGCTGAGCTCCCCGACTGGGTGGAGTTGCTTAGGCAGAGGGTAGATATATTTGCTCTTGACTATGATGCTATTCTCACTGCCATGTATGCATTGCCTACTAGTGCTGACCGTGCTGGTCACCTGTGCGTCCCGCCTGACCCAGGTATAGGATCTGCTGCTCTAGCTACTGGTGAGGCTGCTGCTGCTCTGGGTGCTAGTGAGTCTCCTGCTCCAGGTACAGGTGCGGCTGCTACTCTAGGTGCTAGTGAGTCTGCTTCCTCAGGTGCGGGTGAGGCTGCGCTCTCAGGTACCGCGTTGGCTTCGGCCTCCCTCACCTTTACACTTGACTCTGGGACTTCTCGCTCCTTCTTTCGGGACCGCACCACACTCACGCCGCTTGGTCGGCCGGTTGCAGTCTCCCTGGCTGACCCCTCTGGGGGTCCTGTCCTCGCTCACTTCTCCACTGTCCTCCCGTGTCCGGCTGCCCCCTC